GGCTCTTCCCCATCTGCTTGTTGGCAAAGGTGATATACAGGCCCAAAAAAAAGTCACTTCGACCGAGTCACATATCAGCAAAGTTTTCGCAGCCCAGAGAGAAGACGTGGATACGAGTACCAGGGCGGAAGATACCCAAGATGTTCCTCGATAAGCAGGAGCTGGCCCTCGCCCATCACCTTCATGTACACCAAAATATGAAGTCATCTCCAGTCGCAGCCTGACTGGAGAAGACCTTTGGAATTCATGTCACCTCCAAACAGCTGCGAAACTTCTAGTGTGGAGTCACCCATGGGTAGCTACCTGGAGACCAGTACTCTCAATCTGGAAGACCTCCAACATCGAGCAGCTCCGACAACGTCGCTACGGTCTAGGACATCATCTTCACCGCAGTCGTCAAGGAGCGGGTTGATGGTATGGACCGGACGTACCTGGAATGGAAAGACCAATATTTTCTTCGTGGACCCCGGACTGAAGGTGAGCGCTGGCGGTTACATCGAGCAACTCGAGAAGAATATCCTCCCCACATGTCGTCGCCCGTACCTTCTTGGAAACTTTGTACTGCTACAGCATTGGGTGCCACCACGTGGAATCGAAGGGCGTTGGAGAAACTCTCGCCTACTTGGAATGGAAGGGGCTGAGTACCTAAAGAAGATGGAATATCCAAGTAGGTCACCTGACCTGAATCCCCTCAATTACCCGGTTCGGGCGGAGTTCAATAGGGTGGTCTACGGTGGCGGAGAAATCGACTATCTCGCTGATCTCAGGCACCACATCGCGGTCGCGTGCCAGAATCTCTCGATGGCGCTCGTCCAGAAGGCTGTGGCGGAGTGTCATGATAGTATTTGAATATGCTCTTTAATATGGTGGAAATGTCCGATCAGAATTTATAAAGTGTAACTTATAGCGCCTCGAAAGTCAATGAAGAAAAGTGACTTTTTTGCCCCCCCCCCCTGTACACTGAAGCAGGTCACGCCATCGTTGTGATGATCACAACGGGGTCGTATTTGACCGCGAGGGGGGGTCGTATTTGGTCTGAGAAAAATTTTTTGATAGTTGATTTCTCTTGTTTCACGGACGCTATAAAGGGGAGGGGGTCGTACTTGGTCGTTGTTGGGAGAGGGACTGCCAAAGACCTATAAAACTACTATTTCCGGAAATGATAGTTGGATCCTGACAACCTCCGGTCTCTCCCCCCCCCTCGACAGCAAGGTAGCATGGAGGGGTCGTATTTGAGGATCGAATTAGGAGGGGGGAGTATTTTTCAGGAAATGATCACGACGCGATTGCATGCCCTGCACTGAAGGCGATCAGGCTCATCACTGAGTGCTCGAAGGCAATGGCACAAATGCTATTGAGCAGAGAGGGTAAGACCGAAGGCGATCTTGTTGAGTGGCATGTGGTAATCAAAAACCAGTTCTTGTTGTGGCAAACGGTCGGTTTTGCGTGCGATCTTAAGGTAACACCCAGATGTGTTGAAAACTGCTGGAATAGCCTTGCGGAGCTATACATCAGAGTTTTCTGTTATTCGTGAAAAGAGGAAGTCACTCAAGCAAAACAAATGGTTGGTTCACTGAAATGGAGTGATTCTTTTTATGGGACCAGCAGAAGACTTGCGAATGACAGTTGTGCGAGGAAGAGCTAAACTTTTGATGCACTTTCAGAAGGGAACACTAAATGTCGGCACATATGTGGCTAACTGATTCGATAATACTTCAACAGCGCCAGATATCCGTAGGGATTT